TGCAGAATTGATAATATAGCCTCCATAACAGCACCTGGAGACATCGCGAGACGCAGAACTCGAAAGGAGATACGAGTATCATACGACCAATTCCATCGATCTTTCCCGAACCATTACAACGGCTATGAAAGCCATACCATATGTTTATACACTATAACATACATACATTGTAACTTATCTTTTTATGAAATAAATAATATTATCCCTATCAATGAGTGTGGTGAGGAGGATAGAACACTAATCCTAGACGCTGTGATGACATCAGGAAGAACTCAACAAAACGCTGGTCCAACAAGGAGATCGCGGCAATGGCCCGGCGCCAATACTACTACCAACTAGTTATGGGTAAACCGCCAACCTCCAACCGAGACAAAGCCAGACACGACAGCTTCAACCGCTGTCTCGAGTCTCTATAGTCGGAATACGACTTGAGCATATATTAAGCGCATTAGCCTATATTAAGCGCATTAGAACCATCGGGGTTATTTACCTCGTACGTTCCACTTTTTAGTGTCTGTTACAGAGATTATATATGGACCTATCCATTTAGATGTTAATACAGTAGCATCGGAATAACGTTGACGGATGTTAACTCTGTCACCAACCTGATACTCTGCTATCTTCTTGGTAGTGTTCCAACACTTTTGCCTTTTAATAAGGCTATATTGCTTATTTCTCGCAAGCAAGGATATACAACGTTATAAATACGTTGTAACTTCTCTAACGATAATAACTCATGGTGATCAGGTTCGTCCTTGTTAAAGGGGACTTGTAACTCACTATATTTGCCCCGAAAATAGTGAGCGTGTGTAGTTCCTGTAACCGGAGCAGCACACTCATTCATCTGTGTTTGTACCCACTTAAGGTGGTACGGCCAATCATCTGCATCATCCATTAATACAGTACGCAAGAAGAACTTAAGTCTTCTATGGCGCGTTTCATTCGCGCCTTACGTTTGCGGCTTATATGGCACACCTCTATTTTGTCATATGTCTGATACGAGTACTAGCAATTCCATTACATCATCGCAAAACTCACTACCGTTATCAGTGCACATAATACCCGGCCACCCGTGGTCAGCAAAGACTTGGCAACACAATTCTGCCACGGTCTGCGTATTCGTATCCTTTAATGGATTGAGCAAGTTAAACCGTGACGCCACATCACAGAAGTGGCATACGTAACGGTCGCCTGTGTGCTCGGACGTGTGCAGGTCAACCAGATCAATGTTGGCCCAGCGCCATGGAACATCTTCAGTCACACTCTGAAGCGGTGCGAAACCATAGCGCTTGATCTGATTGAGATCACAGTCTGTGCATGACTGATATACTCGTCAACTAAAGTTGTCAGCTTAGGGTGCGTGATCCATGGGGCGAATCCGAGAGACTCATAAAATCCTATCTTTAGAAAAATAAAAAAATAAAGTAAAATACTCTTGATGTCCTTATTTTTTTGTCTTAATCAATAACTTGCCACTATCAAGAATTATTCTCTTACATAAATGCATTTTCTAATTAAACTGACACATGTTGTGTTAATTTCGGTTGTTTACCTTTACGGTGGCTTCCGTTGTGGTGTCTGTGCAGTGCAGAAGGAGAAGACTTTGTGCGGAGTGAATCAAAGTGTAAGTACTCATCTAAGTTGGATATGGCACATAGTTATTGCCAGGTGGAACTTGCACATGAGTCCAGGAAGTATGCCACGTTTACTTTCGAAGGGAATCTATATAGATACTTGTGTAAGATGCCAATGGGGTTGGTCGGCTCGGGATTTACGGAGATCTTAAAGTAGTTTTCATATAATGTCATCCTAGGATCGATGACCGAGGAAGAACACGCTACATACTGGTGGAGGTACTTTGCAGACTGAAAGAACAAAATGTCAAGGTTCGTCTGACGAAGTGCAAATTTATAAGGATGGAAGTAGAGTTCCTCGGACGAATTATTGGAAGTGTATATTAGTCAGTTAAGGACGAGGCCTCACAGGCTCTGTCGACAATGCGAACACCCGAGAACAAATAAGAGTGCATAGTCTGTATGTCACAAAGAAGGGAGTGGGAGTGGAGCAGCAGTGTGCATTGTATAAGTTTCTCGATGTGTTAGAGGAGGCACCAACGCTAGCTTCCCTACAAGAGGAATAACGTACTATTACAACGCACGGATGCTAGTAGGATGAGCTGTGGGGCAGCACTGTACGTTTCTGGGGCCGAAAGTGTAGTAGCGGTATGCTGTTTCTGATGGTACCCCGTCTTTGAGGTACCAACCGGTGACCCAACCAGTTAGTGAAACGCGAGTGGAGGAGGATATTAAGATTCTGTAATAAGCCGGGTCTCCACATTAAACTCTGTTATAAACGTACTCTTAAGCAGTATGTAAATTATAAACGTACTCTTAATAGTACGAGGAACTTAAGTTTCCTAAATGAACTCGTAATAGTACGATGAACTTAAGTTTCCTAAATGTACTCTTAGTAGCACGAGGAACTTTAGTTTCCAATTTTTACAGCTAATTACAATGCCACGCACTCTACTGCTGGTGGGATGGCACATTATACACTAAACACTGGTCATATCTATGCTCATCCGGTGAATGTCGAGGTTGAGCGTTTATTAGATATATATATTGGTGCTATCAAACCTTTTGTTTTAATTGGTCAGTTGCCTACACCTTGTGAGCAGGAGACCGCCGAACATATTGAGTATGCGCGTCAATCGCATAAGCGGTCGGCGGATATGAATCGCGTGGATTGTCCGATATTTGCAGTCGGTCGACAGGTTTTGTACACTCCCATGCCCCCCCCTCTCTGCAAAAGTTAGAGAAGGACTGGTTGGGCCCCGCGGTGGTTATGGCTTTGCTGCCGCCATTGATACATTACATTCATAATGTGGGACTTTTCCATTGGTCAGGAGGAGAAGCTACCTTGTGGCAATGTTTCGACTTCTGCCTTTGGATATCATATGTTATGGTTTCCCATTTTCCCTATGCAGCAGGATATTTCATCACGTGTGATGAGTGTCAGGATCCTACTAAAAGAAAACAAAGAAGACAAACAAAAACTAAAAGACAAAATTATAGCCTTCTGAAAAAAACTATAGTCCTCTAAAATTAATTTGATTAGGGCTATGGAGTATGGACTATGGAATAATGGAGTAAATACATATGCCATGGTATGATTGGAAAAAAAACTAATTTAGTTTTAGATTTAGATTTTCAAAAAAAATGAATAAGATTTCCGTTCAACTTTTAATCTTTTTTATTGCCCTATATAACTGTATATAAGGTGCATATATTAGGCTACTAAGACTGTCCTATATTATTATTACCGCCAAAAATTAGCCGCTCTGTAGTTCATTTTTATTGGAATAGGTGTAAACCTAGTGCAAAATTGAAAATTTGATAGCTGTTTAGACCTGCAAAACGTTAAAACCTTTATAAAAGAATATATATGGGTTTCCGTTCAACAGCAAATTGCACTGATGTACAATATGATTATGTACTATATCTGGGATTAAAAAAAAACAAACAAACAAAAAAACAAACAAACAAAAAAACAAACATATTTTATTATAGTCCTTTTGATATTGTTGTATTTATACACTATTACACAGGGTCTCATTTCTAAACTCTCAATTGCTCCAATACGCTCATATTAATTGGCGGCTGGCGCCATTTCATTTTTCGATTCATGAAAATCACTATGTATTTATGAAATGATTGTAATAAGTACAAAATACATATTTACATTAAATTTGAATAAAAGTAATGAATTTACTGTAAATATGAGTAATGAGTGTACGTTTGTTTGTTTGTTTGTTTTTAAAATAAAATATATAAAGAAATCAAAAAGGAAAAAGAAACATTAGATATATTTCAAAAAAAAAGTATGTACATATGTACTGTAAAATAAAAGTTTGTATTTGTTCTTTTTAAAACCCCCCGCCCCCCCCAAGCTTACGCCTTACGAGCATAAGAAAATATTTAGGATCGTGTTAGTATGTACCGCACTTTATAATTTTTGATTACGTCACGTTGCACCAGAGTTTGACTGTAAAATATTTACACGTGAAAATAATAATTAGAGATTAGAGTAGAAACTACAGTACATAACTGTACTACACTCTCTGAGCTGACCTCAAACCGGTTTCCGTTAAAATGTTTATAAATCAAATAAATATACGTTTACGTTCTACTTTTATTCTACTTGCGGTCATTAATATGCATATAGTTGCACCTTTCGGGTCTAAAAATTCAAGTGTTTACAGATTTCATTATTCGAACCAGTCCTATAAAAGAACTTGATCACGTTAGAACCGTTATAAGTTTAAAAAATTGAATATATATACGTTTACGTTCAACTTCTATTCCGTACCCCCATAGCGGAATGAGATTAGTCTCTGAGTCTCTCTCTACTACTCTACGGTGGAGAGAGAGAGACTTACTCTAGTAGAGAGTGTCCTATTTACTCTCTCTAGTACAGAGTAGTAATTACAACGAGACAGAGAGTCTGTAAAAAAATAGTACATAACAGTACATATAGATGTATTTTGATTTGTACAAAATATGAAGCATAAAAAAATGCACTCGAGAGAGTTATAGTCATCTTAACCTGATGACTCAGTGATCGATCAGATTCCTCGGTCGGTAAAGGTTTCGATTGGATTGTAAAACTGAAACAAAAACGTAGGTTGTTATTAATGTGATACCGAAATTCGGATGTTAGTAGATCTGTTGCACGACTCACCAGAGCACTGAGAGTGAGTGATGACATAAACGATCTCACCTCTCTGTAGTAGACTAGTAGTAGTCAGTTTTTTTACATCAGTTTTAGCTGTCATAAAAAACTTCGATCCGCTGCTTTTTCCAGCCAAACTTGGGATGTCCGCGTGCATAAACTAAATATAAAGTAAGAGCGAGTGTATTTTTACAAATTGCACGAATGCACGGTTTCACCCTTCATTTTGGTTTGTTTTAATTGGGTGTGGACTCTTGTGGGTAAAAGCTCTTGGTGTGTTCCTAACGGCTAGCAGAGCGCACGAAGCTACCTTAGAGAACAGCCATATATACGGCCATATTATATCACGCCACATATTAGTATATCGTATAATAAATACAACCGTCGTATATGGGTAGTTACCCGATCACACAACAAGCTGGCGCTTCGCTTTCTAAGATGCAGTCTAAATCTGCATTCACGTCTTGCTTGACTGCTGGCGCTCTAATACTAAGCTACGCTACAATCGCTCAAGCGGGTACTGCACTGGCGGCCGATAAAGAGGATCACAGGGCCACCTCCACAACCCTATTAATAGAGTCTAAGACCACATATACAGATGCAACAGCGTCTTGTGAATTACTGGGAGGTCGGCTGGCAAGGTTGTACTCGATTTATGCATGTATGCGTGTTGGACTAATTCTGCGCGCGCCATCTGTTCTGTTCATCAACACGTGGTGAATTACTAACTAAATGACATCGTGGTGCTTACAGAGTTGATGCACACACTAATTTATCTGGCGACAATGTTATATTGTAGCGGCTTTCAGTACACGTATTGTCAAAAATTGTGAAGTGCTACTGAAGACAGCCGTTTTCAGATATGTATATTTGCATGGGGTGGAACGCAGCTACAATCGCACCCTACACTGATGTCGATACTAACTGTGAGTCATGAACACAGGTGGTGCGTTGTCTCGATTCTTGCAATAGTGACGCGAGCTCTGTATACTTTTGACCTATACCATATCACTTACGACCACTATCCTTTGACATTTGTCATAACATTTTGTATCACAATTTCTGGATTCGGCAGTATAAACGATGAGAGCGAATTTTATAGGCTGCTGCAGCTTGCTGGCGAAACACCTTGGATCGGCCTGAAGTCTAATCCCGATAGAATAATAAGTAGCTATAGCTGTCCTCCAGATGTAATCGGGCACGCTTGTACAGATCACATCAGACAAGCGGTATGTCATAGATTTTATGATATTGTATTGTATTATCTCAGTGTTCAGATGTCTAAGGAGAAAATTTACTCAAGTTAGATGTAGATATATAGTATGATCCACCACCCAACCCATAGTGTGGGAATTTCGCTAATTAGCGTAGCCCCATATCGAGTAGTATATATAGGAAAGTTCTGCTTTGGTGTTAATAGGAATAGTGTATTTATCAAAAACATCGACAGAGTCTGTGTTCATGCCACACTTTCAATTGTTACATCCAAATCAAGATGTGCTTATCAATACAAATATGAACAGATATACACTAAATATATGTATATGTGTGCACATACCTATTCAGTATTTCTTGTTTTTACATGAACGGACATACATAAATATAAATGTAATAAACACACATATATAAAGATATATCAATATATATATATACACATGTACCCCCACCCTCAAACAATATATATATATATAGATATATATATATACATATATATATATATAGATATATATGTATATATACACACATATATAT